CCAGACAGCCCCACCTCCTTAGTAAGAATAGGAAGAAATCCAATGTTTGTGCATTGTAAGCCTCAGAGAGAGGCTTACAATATGTTTCATAGGATATATCATGTATATGTTTTAAAAAATGTTTTAAAAATGGTACCATTGGAAAATATGCACAAATGTTCTTCTGTTGATGGAGGAAAGGTGTACATTAGGAAGAATGCATAAATAAATGCATTAATCATGGAGACTCCACAAAGAAGATGCCTATCAATTTCCATGTTGGAGGAGAAACCAAGGTCTTAAAATCCAATAGGGCCAAATGTAGAATACAGAAGGATTCTAGAGAAGCACAGTGATTTAAACAGAATTTTTGGATCCCTGCTGTATATTGGGTTCTGGGTGCATTTGCCAGAAAAGATACATGTTTTAACTTGAGGAATTAGGGAGAAAACAAAAAATAAAAAATGAAACTTGGCTTCTTGAGGCATTCTTACCTCCTTAGTGCCAGGCTACATTGTATGGATCATAATGACAAGTAATGTTTCAGTGTAAGAGGTAATTCTGAACATGTGCAGAGTACCTATATCACATGGCTGCAGGCTTATTATACGCTTCACTGCTAGAGAGTCATTCCTTCTTTTTCCCATGATCGCCTATTGAATAAATGGGCTCAGGTATCTAGATTTCAAGACAGGTTTCAGCCACAGATCTTTTATATTATTGCTGCACAGGTGTGCAACAATAGATATTGTGTGACAGCCTAATTTTGAATTCATAAACCAACTCAAAAAATAGGGGTACCCCAAATAAAAACTTACAATTTTGAAACTGGACCTGAGATAGCACCAGATGTGTCACAGATGTAGAAGACAGTCTGCTCTTGCTCTTTGCCAAACCTGGGGATGTTAAGCAAGCAGTTTTTGAGTTATGATTTTTTTTTAAAAGTAACACTTTAAAAAGGCTGTGTCCAGACACCAGCGACCTTCTGTGTCTGCAGATTTAAAATAAATCAAATAAATTAACAATATCAAACTTGCTTATGGTTAGCTTGCTTTAGTCAAAGAAAGGGTTTGGAAATTGGATCATATAGTTATAGTCTGCAATTGGCAGAGCGGACATGGCAACATTAGTTTGCCCAAGAGATTAAAGGGTGTCTATGTTTCTCCATTGTACATTTTGGACCTACTAACACCTTTGCCTTACCATTTCATTAAGTTCTAAATATTTTGGCAGACGTCCACAGCCCTGACAATTGCTTTGTCTTTGGGTGAAAAGTAGTTAACTGATGAGACAGCTTCTGGGAATTTCTTGCGTGGTAGTGAGTAGAAGGGAATATCTTGTAGACTTTCTTGACTGATGCCATTAGTGTTGTAAACATTCAGGCTGCCCTTGGCTATTTAAAGCTTGGTGTCTTTTTCCCTGCAGGCAAAGCAAGCATGATATTGTGCAGCAATATTGGGCCATTTCATGCGTTCTGAATTGTCTACACAGAAGCACAATATTCCACATTCATAAATGGGGGTGGGTTTCTTTGAAGAATCGAATCCTTCTCAGTGCCATGATACACTGGTGCTGGAGAACTCAGTTGTCATGAAAGGCTTGTCCAACTGAGAGCCACAGGCAGGAGAAACCAAGAGCTGCTTCTATCAGTGACCTGGTCCAAAGCATGAAGGACCAGTAGCCTTTGGCTGGCCCAGAATCACATTGCTGCAGCAAGCATACAAACAGACTAGGCTCTGGAATCCAGAAAAGCAGTGCAATTTTTGAATTAGAACTACAGTGCTGCCCCGCTTGACAATAATGTGTTCCAGCAAAATCGCTGTTAAGCAAAATCATTGTCAAGTGAAAAAGAAATCCCTATTGGAATGCATTGAAAACCGGTCGTCCAGCGAAGCTTGCCCATAGAGACCTACCAATCAGCTGTTCTAATTTGCTGTAATGCTTAGCTTCCATCCGGAAAGTAGCCATTTTGAGAAGGGAGGGAAGCCATTTTGCGGAGCCGGAAAAAACATTGTTTTGCGAACAAACGGTTTGCGAAGCAGGCTCCTAATCAACATAAAGCAGATTTCCCCCATTGGAACCATCGTTTTGTAATCGCAATAGTGATCGCAAAAATGTCATCGTCAAGCAACTTCAACGTCATGCGGGGTAAGTGTCTGCAGCAACACAGTTCCGAGCCAGCCCAAGGCTACTGGTCATTTCTGCTTTGGACTGGGTCACTGATAGAAGTAGCTCTTGGGTTCTCCTGCCTGTGTCTCTTGGTTGGGCAAGCCTTTCACCTAAACCAAACTTTCCAGCATCAGCACATCATGGTGCTGAGAAGGATGACCAGAGCATTCAGAGTGTGTGACCAAGAGGGTTGGTGGGGCAAAGTGGAAGGCAGGGTGTGTGTGTGGGGTGTGTGTGTGTGTGTGTGTGTGTGTGTGTGTGTGTGTTAGTCTTCTTTAGAGGATGTGTTCCCCAAGCTCATGTAAAAATCATTGCTCCTGTGGTCTTCTAGAAGAAGAAAAATCATTTTTAACACCTGTGCCTAATGTTTCCTCCATTGGAATGTATTGAAGCCGACTCAATACATTTCAATGGCTTTGCGAAGTCAATTTTTGCAAATTTAAGTGTGTCATAAAAGGGTCAAAAATGGTTTTAAATGCTTGGATTAGCTTCTGCACCCTCTAAAACGGATGCAAAAGTTAATTTGGCTTTGATCTGACTTTTCGTTAATTTATGGTTAATTTTTCCCCCCAACTTTTGACAGCTGTCAAAATCTGACAGCTCCATTGTTTCCTATGGGGGAGAAAAAAATTCACAAAAAATTAACGAAAAGTCAGATCAACGCCAAATTAAGTATGCACACATTTTAGAAGGTGCACTAACGATTCCAAGCATTTAAAACCGTTTTTCAACATGTTAAGACACTTTTGTAATTGAAAAAATGAACATTGTTAAGTGAAGCAGGGGACCTAAAACCAAAAACGTTAAGCGAAGCATGGTCCCAAAATCGCTATGTGAAAATTGCCCATAGGGAAAAACGTTATACGAAGCACAATCTGACTCTGAAAAAATAAACTCTAAGCAAATAAAACATTAAACGAAGCAAACGTTATGCGAGGCACCACTGTATTTATTACATAGAGTTTTTATTGCATATTGGGAACTGCCCAAAGAGTTATAAAACTAATGGGGCAGTATAGAAATGGAAAGAGAGGGAGGGAGGGCTAGGACATTACTAGTATGGACCAGGCGTGAGAATTGTGAGGGCTTCTGTAAGTGAAGGGCAGTCCGTCTCCTTGGTATATTTGTTCCTTGTTAAATGTCTCCCAAAAGCACACAGTCCTTCAGGTAATGCTGCTCAAAATGATAATAACTTAGGGCTGTGTGGGTTGTCACTGGGTGTTTGTAAGAGAAGAGGACTTTAGCAACAGCAATCTAGGCCAAGTTGTCGTAGCAACAGTGGTGGTACAACAGAGAAGAAATGTTTATAGCAGCTCTTCGGCTATGCAAGTTCTATAATTACCAAGAAGACCAGCATGGCCCGTGTTTTCCATTGAGCTGGCACAGAACAGTCCTGTCAGCTCATTCACAAGGGACGTATGGCACGGGGACACTCATTAGGTGTGTGCAAGTAATTTCCCCATCCTTTTAACTGTTCCTCTGAGGTCCATCTGAGAAGGCAGCCTGGGAGAGGATCTTTTCAGAACTTTCCGGTTCCAGACTTTCAAGAACACAAGGCATTCTTATTACATGCTGAGGATGTGATATAAGAATATTAAGATCATAAGATTATTTTCTTTTGATCCTATCATTTCTCTTATAAAATCAGTTCTGCTTGAATTTTTTTAAAATGATTTTCCTTTCCGTGGCTTTGCATCTTATGACTGTTCTTCTATAAACAAATTAATCTACCCCGCTTCTTAAAAACTCATTTTACTTGGGGGAAGAAACTCATGAACACACCAAACAAGGCGATTTGATGGACTCTGCTTATAAGGTGCCCATGCTGGCTGGAGGATGTTGGGAGAGGTGGGCCAGAAAAGAGCAGAACTTTTCAGTTTTCTGCTCTTTTCATCTTCTGTGAGAAAGAAACCAGATCAGTTGTTCACAGTACAGTATCGAATAGTGATGGCTCCTGACCAGGTTAAGGGGGCAATCCTTTGTTTTTTGAGGTGAGGTACCGCACCCCTCCATCTCTCTCCAGATCCATGAACTTTAGAGCCTTCCCTATATAGCTGGAAAATGTGTGTGTGTGTGTGAAGAGATTATTACAGCTGATCATATAGTATAAATTAAATTAGAAGTGAGGGAAGGAGAAGAACTGGCTGATGAATCCTAGGGAACTGGTTTGGATGTAACACAACCTCATTATTTAGAACTACTGTATCCAAAATCTGGATAGCCACAATGACATCCAGCCTCTGGTAAGAGGTGAAGGAAAAGAAGATATGGAAAATGAATAAACAAAGTTCAGATTTCTTTCATAATGCCTTTTGTGATTGCAAGTGACTGTTAAAAAAAATACTGTTCACTCCTGCTTGATTGTATTTCTTCCCTTTCTCCATAGGAAGAGTGTGCAAATTACATCCGTGCTCTGCATCGGTACAACCGAACACATCTGTTGGCATGTGGAACAGGAGCTTTTGATCCAGTCTGTGCTTTTATAAGAGTAGGTCATCAGTCAGAGGTAAGAAATATGCCCTAAAAACAATTTCAATATGTTTATGAATTGCTTAAAGGGTTAGGGGAACAGCTGAACAAAGTGGGGCAAATAAAACAAAAGCAAGCCCAGCTAACTGGAAAGTGGAAAAAAAACTTGTCAAGGTGGGCAGAGGAGGCCTAGGCAACAACAAGAACACATCATTGTCTAGATTTTAGCATACTGTAGTTATGTAAAATCATTTTAGTCACAGAAGATAAGTTTTAGAGGGAGATAAAAGCTATGGCCCAGGAGGCCCTAGGATGTGGTCTTTAGTACTTCCTCAGGACTGAGAGCCATCCTCTTCCTTCATTTTGTAAAGGTTAGATCTTGATCTATCCTTGGTTTATTTATTTATTTATTTTTTGGTGTACATATAAAATCTGTAGTTCTAGTTTGCTTTGCCTTCTGCTAGAACTAATCTTCAAATAAAGTTGCTTATCTCATTTGGAATCGTGCTTTTGTTTGAGGATTCTCAAAGAGTAGACTAATCGTCTGACCTTATAAATAAGTGGAAGGAACACAGCGTTCTCTTCCATTGAGCTAGCAATTCAGGCAAGTCACAAGGCTGCTTGGAATCTGGTTTACAATGTCTTCAAACATCTCCTAAAACAGGAATGCACAAACCCACTTAGGCTGCAGGTTCTGCACCCATGCATCACACCATCTGAATCTCTCCCCAGCTTTCTGTTTTCTATCCATAAAGCAGCTTCAGAAAGAGTGCTCTTTAACAGAAAATCAGTGAGGGAGATGTGTGCTGTTCTACCTTGTTTTCTGACCCACACTATTTGCATAATGACATGTAGAGCAAAGTACGTATCTGGATCCTATTTGTATGAACAGTTATGAAGCTTCAGAGACATGAATGTAGGCCTGTTATTCTTATACTAAAGGTTTCCAAATGTTATATTATTGCCTCCTGGGTATTTCATTTAACTGGAAGTAAAAAATCAGATATGTATTTTATAATATTGTCGTTATAGATCTGGATTATTTTAGTATGTAGTATAGTGATCACTCAGTACTCTTGTTGTGAAGTGTTGTAAAATGATGTAACAATTTTTGTATTATTTTATCCAATATTATTTTACTTGACTTTAATATTGTAGTGCAATCATCTTTTGATTGTGCAATGAACATATTGGTTCGTTGATGGCATAATGAGCGAATCGGTCTCATGAATATGAAAATGTGGCTGCTTGGATCTGAGGAAATACAGTGTGAAAATCAGAGAGAGAGAGAGACTCCTGGTGTGGGTTGCAAGAATTGTTAGGAGGGAGGCTGATTAACTACTGGTGTGGAGTAGAGAAAAGCAAGTAGGAAAGAAAATACGTCAGGAGGAAAGAGAAGAGGAAAAGAGGAAAAGCACAGGGAAGGAATGAATGCGTTTGTAACTGATGAAACTGATACAGGCTGAATAAGCTGTAGGATGGAGGAAGAGAAAGATCACATAGAAAGAAGGGTGTCAGAGAGAAGAGTGGTAAAATGGTAAAATGAAGAGTTTTGAACCAATAAAGGTTACTTTGGATGGATGGAACCAGGTAGAAGCTGTAAACTGTACATTCACAAGAGATCAATTTGTTGTTATTGTTGTTTTGTCTTACATACTGCCTCACAGTGCAAGCGCTCTCTGGATGTTTTACAACATAATTATGCAAGGAACATTTGCATAATTGATGGTGAACAAATTGTATACTTTTGAACAAATACTGTTTGGGTCTGCATGTGTTTATTTTACTGAATCCTGGTCTTCCAGATGCACATTTGCTAAGAAGTTGGCAAATGGAAATAGATGCCAGTCAAAGGTGCCAGTCCTGTCCTCCTTCAGTCTCTGTGTGTAATTGTGCAAATTATAAATTAAAAGATATGTTGGGAACCTGCTGAAAAAGTGGTCACCAATGTTGTAGTGTCACCCACACTGAAGAACTATATAGCTTTCCTTTATATTTTGTATCATGGAATAACATTTGAAAGTAAGTTGACATTGTTAAGAAATTTCCAACATTCTGAGTAGTGTGACTCAGTGTGAAATAGATTATGTCTGTGGATATTTCATTTTGATCCCAAAAGTTATGATGTTTGTGTAGTTGTACAACAGGATTTCAGGCACAATTTCCATCTCATTATGTGCTGTTGTTTTCTTCCCTCTAGTACTATCCTTAAAAGGGGAAAAGTTAAGTAGAAGTCTACAGAAAAAAATATAATATGCCCACCATGTTCATAACTTTGCATATGTGCATTGGATTTCTTCTTGCATGTTGTGAGCCAGAAGATGATTTTGAAAAGATTATTTCACTTTCTCAATTTTCAAGACTAAAGCAGCTAATTAAAAATCAGAATTGGGGATTTTTGATTTTTGAAAAACCAGTGATGCTTATGTTACTGGATTTCAGTTTAATCAGGTCCCTCAAACCTTGTCTAGTGTACCAACAACCCATCAATGTGGACGAATATAGCTATATGTAGCTGGGAATGAGGGAAGGTAACTAGTGTGGCGTAGTGGGTAGAGTGATGAACTAGAAATATGCAGAACAGAGTTTGAATCCTCACATGGCCATGGAAACGCAGTGGGGAAAACAGAACTGGTAAAACCATTGCTGAAATATCTCACTTCCCTTGGAAGTCACTTCCAACTTGATGGCACATAATTAACTAGGGATGAGGAAAGAATTACCAGATCCGCACTTCCAACTTGATGGCACATAACTAACTGGGGATGAGGAAAGAATTACCAGATCCCATATTTTGATCAAAATATCCATTTTTGCATATCCTAAGACTGGCAATGGGAGAAATCATATGTACCTCATACATTTATGATGTTTGCAAAATGTCTGAACAAAATTCTCACAACAAATGATGTATACAATTGAAATAAATGTGCACAACTAAAATATATGCATTTGAGAAATGTCAGGTATACTTTGAGTTGGATTCCTGCATGGGGGCAGGTGGGTTTGGACTCAGTAGCCTTGTAGGTACCTTTCAATTCCATGATTTTGTGATTCTAATTGCTAACATATGTTGGTTGATGGAAATAAGGTATTGAGATGCATCTATTAGGATACTAAACTTTGCATATTTCTATGTGGAAATAAAAGTCCCACAGCTTGTGAATGAACTGGGATGGGATGAAAATGCCAATGGGATTCTGGGAAACATAAGTAGAAGGCAACTAAGGGGGGATGAAAATGCCAATGGGATTCTGGGAAGGCAACTAAGGACATACTCACATGGACCATAAGAATCACACTTATATCAATTCTGCTGTTATTGACATTTTTTAATCAAATTCTGTTCACATGCCGCACAGGAAAAATCGATTTGTTTGACCAACCAATTGATTATTTTCAACCTTGTAGCATTAGCTTTTTAAAATGATCAGATCCCTGATCACTTCTGTCCACATCAGTTTGGCATGTGTAAACATTGCTGTTGATTTGCTGTGCACCCACTTGTATTTTTGGCACCATGGACACTGCATGTCCACAACACCTGCTTCCTTTAAAAAAAATTTTTTTCCCCAAATGCTAAGCGCTGTATTGGTATTCTCTCCCCCAAGAGTTTACCACCGTATCACTTTCTTGTAATATTCATCCTTCCCTTGTCAAAGTGGAGAAACACCCCACCTAGTGTCCTTTGAGAAACAGAGCACACTAAAACTGAAGAGCTGCCAAGGGAAACCTTGCGTTATGAAAACTTCCAATGTTGCCTCCTAATTTTTTTTATAGAATTTGGCATGCTGTTTAAGCAATATATTATTGAGGTATTTTTTTACCTAAAAGCAAAGCAATTTTAGAGCAGCATGCTCCTAAAACTGAACATAACATGAATTGATTTTGTTGGGATGGCATGTGTAGCCTACAAAACCTGTTCAAAGTTCAAGAAATATATGCAATTTTAGAGCAGCATGCTCCTGAAACTGAACATAACGTGAATTGATTTTGTTGGGATGGCACGTGTAGCCTACAAAACCTGTTCAAAGTTCAAGAAATATATTGAAAGAAAGGCAGCCATGTGAACACATCTGATGTAATTAGATCCTAATAGATGTTCTTATCCCTTGACATATCTCTGTTTTCAAGGTCCTACAACACAGACACAGGAAAAACACAACTGCTGGATTGTTGGCCATAAATAGATAACTGCACACTAGGCACAGTGAATCTATAGGGAAAGAAAGCAATTTATAAAGACTTTCTCTCATATGTTTACTTGCTCTCCCAGCCTTCATTCTAATCTTATAGCCAGGTATGACAGCCACAAAACCACTACAATTCTGATGTGATTTTGAGAAGTTGTTATTCGGCTCACGTTGTCTCAATAATTCACTAGGATACATTGCACAGAAAGCAGAATTAGTTTTAGCTAAACATCTATTTACTGCATGAATATTAATATGCAGTAGAGGGAACTTAAAGATCTATGGATAAACAGCAATTAATATCCCTTCAGTCACAGGAAGAAAGTGTAGAGAATAAGCAAGGACTGTCCTTGCCATTTACAAATGCTGTCCAAATATGCAGGAATGTTTACCAGGATAGTTTGCAATTTATTATAAACATCCAATCAATGTGTGCATATATATACTGTAAACTCTAACCATATTTCCCAAATGGAGAAAAAACATTACTGAATTTCCTAGGGAATGATTCAGATGAACTGAACAGGATCTGCTGTTTCCTGGGATATTGAAAATCTCCTTCTAATTGCTTAGAGCAGAATTCATGAGAGATATTTACATTGGTGTAAAAATACTGTATACATATAACATATATTTTTCATCAAATGTTACACTTGTTTTGAAAGTGTGGTTTGAGTCAGAGTCGTTATTGTAGGAATGACATCCATGTTTATACACACTCAGCTAGCTTAATCAAATGTTGTTGGTAGAGTAGTGAAAAGATTTCTTTTTAACTTTCTACCTTGCAAATCCAACCTAAGGCCTACGAGGTATAAAGATCTTACTGGTCTTTATAGCTTATCAC